TCTCTGTGATATGACTGTACTTGAGATAGTCTATAGTGTTTAGAAGTGGCTTTCCAGGAGATTACCAAAAACTTCTACCAGTACTCCAGAGTTATGACTTCCTAGAGAGTAAAAGACCCTCACTAGTGGATCTCTTGGTTACCAATGAATTGGCCACCAATGAATCTTTTCTCATTTTATCAGCACCTCAATGAATTTCTGTGCTGTCCAGAAGACTATAGCCAGGCTTTCTTCAGTAAGACCTGAATCTCAGTCTGGCCAGAAAAGGTATTCTTCCTTGTTGGCTTACTTCCTGGGGTGGCTCGCTTTAGTTCTAAGTAATGACTGCTCCTTGTACATCCTATAATTTTAGGAATTTCTTACTTCCTTAGAGTAGCATCTTCTGCTTTTATTTATTAACTCTTGAAACTCTACCTGCTAAAATTATTGTATCATTTGTTTCCAGATTGGATCTTGGTTAAGATGCTGATATATTTGATGATAGTGATTATGATGGGCTAGAGCGATAGCACAGCGGTAGGGCATTTGCCTTGTGTGCAGCCGGCCAGCTGAGCTGGGTTCGATTACTCTGCCCCACTCAGAGAGCCCGGCAAGCTACCAAGAATATCTCGCCTGCACGGCAAAGCCTGGCAAGATACCCGTGATGTATTCAATATGCCAAACACAGTAACAAGTCTCGTGATGGAGACGCTACTGGACCCACTCGAGCAAATTGATGAACAACGAGGAGATGGTGCAAATAATGATATTGCCATATGATGAAATATATATATTTATAAGGCCCTTAATAACCAAAAGTTGTATATCATAAATTTTATACTAGCATTATCATACCAATTAAATAGCATCACAAAGATAAGATATATTGATTTTTTAAAATTTTAAAGTGTTCAAAATGATACAGGGAGGGAATAAACAATGACTGGAGGGAGAACCCAGTGGGCAGAGGAGGGAGAGCTTGCAAGAAAAATTGAATAGGGAAATCAGAGAGGTAGAAAGAGAAAAAGGAGACTCCTCTCTTATATATAAAGGGCCAAGAGAATGCCAGGAAGATGAGCTTTCTTTGTTGCAAGGCACTTCAAGTTCATTTCATTTTTTTTCACCATCCTGTTATTCGTCGACTGCCTCGAGCAGGCCCCAGTAACGTCTCTTTCATCCTAGCCCTGAGATTATATTCAAGGCTCTTTAGGAGAAAGAGACCCATCATTGTTACTGGTATTTGGCATATTTGGTACGCCACGGGGAGTTTGCCAGACTCTGCCCTGTGGGCAGGCTACATTCGATAGCCTGCAAGTTTGTCCAAAGTAGGAATGAGATAATAAGATGTCATAAAAAGATGTTTTGATAAGGTTCCAGGAGCTGGATTTTATAGCCTCTGAGTCTTGGCCGTTGATGGGATTACACGGCGCCAGGGGGCCAGGTGGTGGGTGTGACCCCCGCCTACTGGAATTTGGAGGATCTGGGTGGAGGATGCTCGACTCCAATCTGAGTAGGCTTGGAGATCTCGGCCCCGGAACCCACGTGGCTTTGTCCCTCTGCCAGTACCTTCATGTGTGCGGAGAGTGGTCTCAGCATGGTGGTGGCTGGTCCTGGAGGTCTTCGGCTGTCCGAGCCCTAGTCGGGGCGGGGAGGATAGCTCAACCCGCTCCCCTCCAAGGGGCTCCGGCGAGGAACAGCCAGGCACTGGGGCAGAAGACTGGTGGTCTAGTGGTTAGAATTCGGCGCTCTCACTTCAAGATCAAGGAAAAAGAAAATGTGCCAGGTGGTTTTGACAATGAAGTGCCCACTCAATAATCTGGCTTTGATCACAGTATCTTAGAAAGTCAGAGTTTAGAAAGCCTGTGTTATGAACATCAGGAATTATTTAAAGGCAATGAGCAGTCAAGTGGAAGGGGAATAAAAATTAGTCCTAGCGTGGTTGGTCTGGGGTGGGGGATTCAAGGACATGGCAAATTGGCTACCAACAGGAGAGGTGGGTTGGGGAAATCAAAGTCAACTGCCTTTTTAAGAGTTGGAGTGGTTCCCTGGGAATATACCCCGGAGAGGCAAAAAAGTATAGTCGAAATGACATCTGCACTTCCATGTTCATTGCTACACTGTTCACAATAGCCAAAATTTGGAAAACACCTGAGTACTCAAGAACAGAAACTTTGGTACATCTATACAATGGAATACTATGCAGCTGTTAGAAAAGATATAAAGTAATGAAATTTACATACAAGTGGTTCTACATGGAAAGTATCATGCTAAGTGAAATGAGCCAGAAAGAGAGGGACAGACTTACAAAGACTGCACTCATCTGGGGAATATAAAGTAACAGAATGGGAGTCCAACACCCAAGAATAGTTGAGATAAGTACCCGGAGGTCTGCTCCAGGGCTTGAAAGCCGGCAACACATGATGGGGGAGAAGGCAGCTCAGATAGAGAAAGGAACACCAAGTAAAGGATATTTGGAGGACTCACTCAGGATGCGAGATGCATGCTGAAAGTAGACTATAGACCGAACAAGATGGCCACTCAATACCTCTATTGCAAACTACAAGACCCTGAAGGAAAGAGAGAGCAAAAGGGAATGCCCTGCCACAGAGGCGGGGTGGGGGGAGGTTGGGGTGTGGGGGTGGGAGGGCTACAAGGATCATTGGTGATAGAGAATGGGCACTGGTGGAGGGATGGGTACTCGATCATTGCATAAGTGAAACCCAAGCACGATAGTTTGTATGTCTACAACTGTACCTCATGGTGTTTCACTAATAAAAAAAAAAAGAAGAGAACAACCTCAGTTAAAAAATTAAAAAAAATTTTAAAAAAGAGTTGAAGTGGTCCTTGGACCAGTGGTATTGGCTTTCAGACACTTTAGAAATTCAAAGTCTCAACTGCACCTCAAATTTAGGGACTTGCACCTGAATTTTATCATGAACCTTAGGTGACCAAAGTTTTTAACCCTCATAACCACCAAGGCAATTTATTTCCCCATCTTTGCCTAGGATGAGATGAAGGCTGAAAGATGTCTGGGAGGTTCATCACTGAGCTCAGAGTCAATCCTCTGACTTCCAGGCCCTGCGCTGTCTTTCAAGAGGTGAATGAAGAGCTGCAAGAACTAACATTAGGGACTCCTTATTAGCCATAGTTCCACATTGTAACGTTTTAATGCTAAGCAGGCACACTGGACAGGATATCCGGGTTTATCTTCAACCTCTCTAACACAATTACTGGCATATGGTCTGGGAAAGCAGAAGAGTAAGTAAAAGTGCAGGACCATAAAAGGAAACTGGGAAGGCCATAGCCTCAAAAGGGGAAAGGTTAGCAGCTGGAGCAATAGCACAGCAGGTAGGGTGTTTGCCTTGCAAGCGGCAAACCCAGGTTCGATTCCCAGCATATGGTCCCCCGAGCACTGCCAGGGGAATTCCTAAGTGCAGAGCCAGGAGTAAGCCCTGTGCATCGCCGGGTGTAACCCAAAAAGCAAAAATAAAAAAAAAAAGGGGGGATGGGGTGGGGGGGGGTGGGGAATGGAAGTCAAACTGGGTAATCCGAGTTAGCAGGTGAGGGCAAGGAAGGGATAAGTCAATCAAGAAAAACCATGACCCTAGGGGTCCTGGTGATGTCAGTGGGCCCCACGGGTGACTTCTGTGAAGTGGGGAGGAGAAAGACGGTCACTTTCTCCCCACCCGCCTCTGCCACCCAGGACCCAGGGTTACTGGGTTCTTGTCTCACCTTGCAGAAAGGAATTTCAGGAGTAGACAAGCAGTGAAATAAAAAGATTTTATTTGGAGGATTTTTAGGTATGGAGGGAGAGAGAGTGAGAGAGTAACATAACTCTCAAGGGAGAACACGGGCTTCTCCAAGGGCGGAGACAGCCCCTATAGCCATCCTAGCATTAGACAAGAAAGCATGAAAGTACATATCTCAAGAGGTGAAATGTGGGTGTCATATGTGCTCAGGCACCACATGTGCTCGGCCACGTAGGCGCAAGCAGCACAGGGGCTCGGGCAGCATATGTGCGCCCTTCCTTTATTCAAGGTGGCCTTTATAGGGTTTCTCCAGCCTGTCCCCACGTGAAACTTCTTCCCAGGTAAAAGTCCGTTGCTATGGAGGTTATCAGGGAGGTCCAAAAAGAGGAACTTCTGTGGGGAGGAGGCCTATATCCTCAGGGTCTGCAGATGATCTTATCAGGTCTTTGTTTTCTGTATCCACAAGGTGGGTCATTCCTAGAATTCTTCCATGAAACTTTGTTTCGTTGCTAAGGGCCTTTCCCTATCTACCTGCCTATATCACTGGGAGGGAGTCAATCCAAGGCAGGAAGGTCTGAACCCAAGTAAAGGGATGAAAGGAGACACTTGCAGGGAGATGGGGTGGCCCCCTGTGCAGGGGACCCTGGTCGACCAGTACTGTGCTCCGTGCGAATCAAGAAACTTCTTTGCTCTCATTTTTTTTTTGCTTTTTGGGGTCACACCCAGGGATGCACAGGGCTTCCTCCTGGTTCTGCACTCAGGAATTACCCCTGGCGGTGCTCAGGGGACCATATGGGATGCTGGGAATTGAACCCGGGCTGGCCATGTGCAATGCAAACGCCCCATCTATCCTCCAGCCCCTTGCTTGCATTTTTGACTCTGTCTCGTTTCTCTGATCACGGACCCTACCCCTGAAGAAGTGCAGAGGAATTTCGACTTCCAATTCAAGGACTTAGAAAACTGAACAACCACGCTAAAATTTTAAAAATAAATACAAAAATAAATACAATAAAACTCGCAGGACTGTGTTTCTAGGACGGCGCTTAGCGAGCTTGCTGGGATAGGGACGGACCTCGGGCTTCCCGGAGCCCTCCGGGATCCCCGGGGAAGCCGCCTTGACGGCGGCCGTGAGAACTTCATTTCCCAGCACCCCCCGCGGCCCCCTGACGCGCGAGGCATGACGGGCCCTCATGCCTCGGGGCCCGACTCGGCTCGAGCAGCCTGGCGGAGCGGGCCACGTCACCGGCTGACGTCGGGGCGCGCGCGGCATCCTGGGACTTGTAGTCCGACCGGCCCCGGGACGCCCCCTCGGATGAATGGGGCCCGGGCAGCGTGCGAACTACACGGCTCGTCGTCGACCCACAGCGCTGTTGGCCGCGGGCGTGAGCGGAGGCTGGCGCGAGCCGCGGGGCGTGGGGGATGTTCGGAGCCGCGACGGGCGCGGCGGCGGCGGCGGCGCCGGAGCGGCGGCTTCCTGGGGTAGCGGTCTAGGCGGGCGCGTCCCGGGCACCGCCACCGGCCATGCGCCCGGCCGTCGCCGTGGGCCTGGTGTTCGCCGGCTGCTGCAGTAACGTGATCTTCCTGGAGCTCTTGGTCCGGTGAGTGACCCCCGCGGGCCGCGCCCAAGCTCCCGGGGATGGGGGGTGGGGGGTGGAGGGAGGGAGACGCGGGAGAGGGGGCGGCCCCCCACGCATGCATGCACGCACGCACCCACGCCGCGTCGGGGTCGGGGTCGGGGTCGGGGGGTGGGCATGACCCGGGTAACCCACCCCCTCCAGGTGCCCGGGACCCTGCCCACCCCGCCACTCGGTCATCCCACGCAGCATCCAGTGACCTGCCCCAGAGTTTCACAGCACCCCGGGGCGCGGGGACACCCCTCCCCTCCCTCCGCGCTGGAACTGTCACCCACTTTTCACGCGGGCGCGTGCTGCTGAGTGTTTCACGACGTGCTTTGGCCCTGAGGTTGCGGGGGGGGGGGGGGGGAGGGAGTGTGTGTGTGTGTGTGTGTGTGTGTGTGTATGTCTGTGTGTGTGTTGGGAGGGGGGAGTTGTAATAACAAAACAGCACAAAAAACAAACAACAAGGTTTCTCGAGTTTTTTTTTTTTTGTATTTATTTTTTATCTTGTTCACACCACTTCTTGATTTTAGAAGCAGCTGGCAGCTGTTGGCTCCCCCCCCCCCACACACACCCCGAAACCCTCCCCTTACATGCATGTTCGTACACTCAGCAGAGGAAGTTTCAGTGGCCTGGCAGTGGCCCACGAAGCTTTCACTTCATTGGCCTGTGCTGCAGGGGACGTGAGATCTTGCTGATCTGTAACACAGCTCTGGGGGGATGTCTAGAGTCCTGTGGGTTCTTGCACAGGTGGTCCAGGGCCACTGTAGACCCCAGAGGCGAGTTTCTGTAGCTTTAAGAGTTAGCCCTGAAATTCTGCCCAGGAGTTTGACAGCATGAGACGCGCATGTATTTTAAGGGGTCACCTCGTGGCATCAAGGTGGGTTGTGTGATGCTGTCCCTCAGGAAGCAGGCTGTCTCATCTTGAGCGAAGTTTCAGGGGTGGGAACTAGTCCAGAAGCGACAACAGGTGGGCTGCAAGAAGCTCAGCTCGTCTCCGTTAGGGATTTCTGTGGTGGCTCTGTCAGCCCTTGGCCCTGGAACCTCGCCATCTGGCTGTAATTTAGCAGTAAATGCCCTCCACCCTTTTTTTTTTTCCTGACTGTGCCTTGCATTATTTCTACCTACCCTCAGAGCGATAACATAGTGGTAGGGCGTTTGCCTTGCACTCAGCTGACTTGAGTTCGATTCCTCCGCCCCTCTCGGAGAGCCTGGCAAGCTACCGAGAATATCTCGCCTGCACGGCAAAGCCTGGCAAGCTACCCGTGACGTATTCGATATGCCAAATACAGTAACAAGTCTCACGATGGAGATGTTACTGGGCCCGCTCGAGCAAATCAATGAACAACGGGAGGACAGTGCTACAGTGCTACCCTCAGAGCAGTCTGGGGTGCAAGATGGGTCAAGTATGACCTCCGCTTAGTACTGAGAGTGAAAACAGGCAGATTAGCTGGACCTTGACTCTCTGCAAGTGGCAGCGCTGGAACTGAATTTTGCAAGTCTCCTGCAGTTAGTGAACTTGAGTAAAGCCATACTTCTTTCCTTGATGCCCATGAGAAGTCGAATATAGGGGAAAGGGATATGCCTCATGTGACAGAGCGTGTGCCTTAAGTGTCAGGGGCCCTGGGGCTGGATCCTGGGTGCTGAATGATCCGTCCAGACCCTCCTCACCATCAGGAGTGCAAACCCCTACCTCCACACCCCCAGCCCCCCCCCCCCCCCCACAAAGAACTATATCGGATTTTCTAGGTTGTTTTTTTTTTTTTTTGCTTGGGGGCCACATCTGGCTGTGTTTAGGGCTTATTCCTGGCGCTGTATTCAGGGGTCTCTTCTCGCAATGCTCAGGGGGACTCCATGCGGTGCTGGGGATCAGACTGAGGTCAACCACATGCAAGGCCAGTGAGCATCTTCCCTGCTAGACTCTCTGGCACCATATTGTATTTTCTTGATAGCACTGATGGAGTCGTTCTGGTTTATTAATTAATTAATTTTTAATTTTTGGGTTACACCCAGCGATGCTCAGGGTTTACTCCTGGCTCTACACTCAGGAATTAACCCTGGCGGTGCTCAGGGGACCATATGGGATGCTGGGAATCAGACCTGGATTGGCCGCGTGCAAGGCAAACGCCCTACCCGCTGTGCTATCACTCCAGCCCCTGATGGAGTCATTCTGAACCAGCCAGTTTACTTAAAGCATGGGTTAGCTTTCACTGTTACAAGAGCTTGAAATTTTATGAGGCAGAACCTGTGGATAAAGATCTGTCCTTTTATCAGTCTTGGGAGTAGGCAGTGAGGGATAGAAACAAACATACAAGAACAAAGTTCCCGAGTGTACATCTTAGTATACTCACAAAGGAAGGTCACTTGGAGAATTCATTAAAAATAGTAAAAGGTAATGAAAAAAAAATAATAATCAGGCCAGCCACAGGAATGAAGGTCAGAGCTGAATAGTGAAATATCTGGGTTGAACATGGCATAAAGTTAATGCTTGCTGAAGGCTGGATGGCACCGGAACTGGCATCTGAAGATGTCCTTTTCTAGTCCTGAGTCTTCGGCTAAATTACTTGATCTCCCTAAGTGTTCCCTAAATAGTAAGGAATGGGGAAGGACCAAGGGCTCTCTCGGCCTCACTGGGCTTTAGAGGATTAAATGAGATGCGATTGCTAAGCCTGAAGCACATTTGTGCCCTTTCTAACTTCTGTTTCAATACTCAGTGTGTCTATTCCTTGTTGTATGAGCTGTTCCTGCAGAATCATAGGTAAATATTTTTCAGAGTGTGTGGGTTCTTTTGTGTATGTGTGTGTGTGTGTGTGTGTGTGTGTGTGTGTGCGCGCGCGCACGCATTATAGGAACTGCTATTTGGAACGCTTCTGAATAGTTTGTAACTGAACTATCTCATCCCCGGAACTGAACTGATAGTTCAATTTGTAACTGAACTATCATCTCTTCTTATTTGTTTGTAATCTGGATCTTAGCACGGTGTGTTCTCATAAAGTGGTGCGGAGTGTCTCTCCTGATGCACATGCGGATTGCTCATTAATTCGTGGCGGACCTGATGGCAGCATTACCTGATGGTGCAGTAAAATAAGAGCTGGTTGGACCAAATGGTCACTGATGGGTTCTCTGGGAGTGGCCCTGCGTGCTTCTGTCTGGGGATGTCCTGGGGGAGAAGCACCTGGTTTAGAGAACAGGGACTGTGTTCTTTCTGGCTTTGTGGGTACCTTTCGGTGCCTTGGTCAGTGGCGAATAGAACACCAAATAGAAATGGAAATAGTCAGGGATGGGAGTGATAGTACAGTGAGTAGGTGGAGTAGGTGTTTGCCTTGCACACGGCCAACCCAGGTTCAATACCCGGCATCTATGTGGTCCCCCAAGCACTTCCAGGAATAATTCCTGAGTGCAGAGCCAGGAGTAACTACCCCTGAGGATCGCTGGGTGTGACCCAAAAAGCAAAAAAAAAAAAAAAAAAAAAAAAAAAAAAAAAAAAAAAAGTAAAGTGGGCTGCAGGTAGAAGAGACCCCTTTTTAAGTCATTTCCCCAAGTAGAAAAATAAGTTTTATTTTCTTTTTCTGATTTTCATGCCTGGGCTGGAGCAATAGCACAGTGGTAGGGCATTTGTCTTGTGCAGCCAGCCTGGTCAAGCTGGGTTCAATTCCTCCGCCCCTCTCGGAGAGCCTGGCAAGCTACCGAGAGTATCTCGCCTGCACAGCAAAGCCTGGCAAGCTCCCCGTGACGTATTCGATATGCCAAACACAGTAACAACAAGTCTCACAATGGAGACGTTACTGGGCCTGTTCGAGCAAATCGATGAACAGTGGGAGGACAGTGACAGTGGTTTTCATGCCTGCCACTCGGACCTGTAACTTACAATAGGAAACAGAATGGATAGGAGGTCAAGAGTGATTATCATGCTCTACCTCCTGCCTTGCAAACAGGATAGTCACCTCTGCACGCTAATTGGGCAAGCTAGGACTTGGCTTCCATCTAAAAGATGATCTGAAATATTTTTCTTGTTTCCATTTTATTTTCCAATCAGATACCTACCTATCACCCAAAGTAGTGTCCTTAATGTAGAAGAAACTCAGAGGACTTCCTTTACTCCCCAATTCTTTCTCTTTGATTTTGCTTTAAAAAAAAAAATTCTTGGGCAAGAACTTAAGAGAAACTTTGCAGTGGGTGATCACAGTTTCTGAGTGATGAAAGTTCAAGGAAGCAATTTAAGGGCCGGGATCCAGGTTTTGACTCCAAAGCATTAAGGTGAAGAATCGAAGTTAAAAAAGAAAATTTTAACTTCATTTGATTGAGAGCCACGTACAGCTGTGTTCCTAAGAAATTCTGCAAGTTGTTTTCTAGAAAAATTAAATTACATGGATACCTTTGGGAGATTTTACAGCCTGTGGAAAGAGGGACAAGGTTGACTAAAGCTGGCAAGGAATGGGGAGAGGAGGAGGGGTTTTGCGGGGGGGGGGGTGTCGGGAATCTGAAATGAATGGTCATGGCTGCATGACTCAGTATAGCTCTGCACTGTAGCACTGACCTCCCATTGTTCATAGATTTGTTGTTCATAGAGTGGCTTGAGTGGGCACCAGTAACATCTCACAACAAATTGTGAGACTTGTTACTATTTTTGGCATATCGAATACATCACGGGGAGCTTGCCAGGCTTTGCTGTGTGGGCAAGATACAGTCGGTAGCTTGCCGGGCTCTTTGAGAGGGGCTGAGGAATTGAACCTGGGTCTGCAGCGTATAAGGCAAACGCCCTACCTGCTATGCTATTGCTCCAGCCCATGATTCAGTATACTCTTTTTTTTTTTCCTTTTTTGGGTCACATCCGGTAGTGCACAGGGGTTACTCCTGGTTCTGCACTCAGGAATTACTCCTGGGGGTGCTCGGGGGACCATAAGGGATGCTGTAAGGCAATACTCAAGATAGCTGAATTGTAAAATAATAAAAGTAGTAATGTGGGAGTCAGCAAGTATCAC